TGTCCCCAGCATGGAGACTATGCCCGTGAGGGCTGGCTTAGGAAACCTGACTGGCCGGGGGAGTGGGGAAGATGAGGGAGGATAGAGGAAAGGGCCCAGAACGTCCATCAGTGGCCAAGCCTCCCTGTGAGTCAAGGGGGAGTCAATGCTGCTGCACACCTCAGCCAAGGAGCCACTGCCTTTCCAAACAAGAGCTTCTGTGATAGGGGCAGGTGGCACACCTGTTCCTCCACCCCGCATAAGGAAGACCGTCCCCAGGGCCACCTACCCCGGGGCTGCAGGGAGCGGGGCAGGTACTTCAAGACCCTGAATCCCCTGCAATCCCCACCACAACCCTATGAGAATGGCCATATTATCACCCCCATCTTACAGATGAGAAAAGGAAGGCTCAGGTGACTTATTCAAGTGTCCCTTGAGGTAAGTGGCAGAGCTGGAATTCAAGCCAAGGTGACTGTTCTTTAACTGGACATTCTGAGAGGAGCTGGTGTGTGTGTGAATGTGTGCGGTGGTGGGCGTGGGCGGTGTTTGGTGGACTTGGCCCATATAAAGAACGGAGCTCTAAGCCATCTTCCCCACGGCAGCTCCCCCGGAAAGTCCCTGGCAGTTGCCAGCGTCTGGACTCCGCTCTGGGGTCCAGCCTCCCTTAGGTTAAGGCCCTGCAACTCCAGCAGGACTTGGGGAGGGATGCAGGGAGACCCATTGTTCTGTTATCGCCTTGGTACAAAATAGCTGGAAATGGGGTCTGGGACAGGGCAACACAGAGTTGGGGGGCGGGGTGCTGGCAGTGAGAGCCAGAGCCTCAGGCCACCGGCCAGAGAGAAGGGGAGGCAGGAGAAAGAATCTTTGCTCCCTGGAGGGTGGGACGGAATAGAAGGTCCAGAGCTTGCGTCATCTGCTCCAGCTGTGGTCCCTCCCAGGGCTGCCATCGGCCCCGTGGGCAGGATGGGGGTCTAGAGATCCCCTAGCCCAGAATCTATCGCCAGGGCCCTCAAGCAGTGAATCCACTTGTCAAGGGCTGTACTGGAGAGGCCTGGGGACTCAGGGACTTGTGTTCAGATCTTGGCTCTGCACTACCAGCCTCATGCCTTTGGGCAAACTCCTCTTTGAAGGAGCCTCCCTTCCTTCCACCGTAAACGGGGCAGTGGTCCCTGAGTCACAGGGCTGTCGGGGGCTAGAGAGCTAATCTAGAAGTCACGGGACACAAAGGAGGCTTTATGAAATTGGCTGCACTACTGACATCCTCGCAGCGGCCTCTGGGCTGCAGGTTTCATTGGAGGCCCACAGCTAAGGAGGAAGCCAAGGCAAGGCTACCGGGTGGCTGGGCCTCGGCTGGCTCCAGCTGGCTTGCTATCAGGCCATCCCTCGAGAGCATCATTATTCCAAAGGCCGGGGCTGCCTTAGTCAGTCTTGTCTCTCAAGCAGATCCTGAGCCAGCGGAGGGCGGAGTTGCAGCATCCGTCTCCCTCATCACCTCAGCCTCACCACTGGGCTCAGTGTCCAGGCTGCTGCAAAGAGTGAGGACAGAGCGGAACTGGCCGGGAGAGGTGGGCGCAGGATGCGAGTCCCGTGGCAGTGGCAACCCCCGTCTCCATGACACGGCTCTGCAGTTGAGAAAGGTTCCACGCCCCATTTCCAAGAACCTCCAGGAACATGTGCCCTGGGATCTGGTAGTGGAGGGTTTGTCCTGGAGCTGGAAGGTGGCAGTGTGTCCTGAGTCACTGGGCCCAGAGGACAGCTGAGGTCACAGGCAGATTCTGCCATCACTGGTAAGCCAGACCCTGTCTTTGGGGCTCAGTTTCTTTGTCTAAGAAAATGAGACTGTGGTCTCTAGGGTCCCTCCCAGCCCTGCCTCACAGCAGCCACACTCCAGGCCCCTGCTGGGCCCCAGCTCAAGCTGCCCCACCCCCAAGTCCCGCCACCCCTCAGCCTGGACCGGCACACAGGTCCTATCTTCGTACTCTTTCTGTTTGAAGGGGCCCAGTTTCCAGAAAGGCAGAGGAAAGCCCAACCTTTCATCAGAAACATTTCCAAAGCTTTAGGGACAAATAGAAACATTCCCTACTGTGCCGAAGAGGGCGAGAGGTCAGGGCAGACCAGGTGGCAAGAAGGAGGCATCCCTGGGGTCCTCCCCTGGAGGGTCTGAAGCTACTGCTGTGGGCAAGGGGATCAGGCCCTCTGATGGCCTCCATCACCGCTCAGAAATCACTGGGAGGTTCTTCCTGTCTCAACGGTCATTCCCATGGGCAGAACACGAAGAATTCCTGTCCTTTTCACTCAGAGAATAGGCCCGCCTGTCCCTTGGCCCAGTGACCATGTCAGGGCCCTTAGGGCAGCTAGTGTCATCATCAGGACAGCCTGACTTCCAGATCCTATGGGGCTAGGGGTCTGGTGAGAATGCAGCAGGCACCTACCTCTCCTCCCGGCCCCAACTCTCCCCATGCCCCTCCCCCGCCCCATGGCTGTTCAGGAACTTAGAGGGGAGGAGAAGAGGGTGGGAGAGGAAAGGAGAGGAGCTTCCTCAAAGGGATCCTCCACCAGGTTGAGCCCATTTCTTCAAAACCAAGTGGTGATCTGTCTTCTCTGTAGGCTGGGGGAGGCAGGTGGAAGGGTCCCTGCCCTTTTCCCAGGATAAGATGGGCCACAACCACAGTCCAGGACTGAGTGTCTCCCCAATCCTGGGGTGCTGACTTAGTGGTTAAAGGACTAGCTCATGACTTAAAAGACTTGTGCTTCATCCTGGCTCTACCACTTATGAGCTGTATGCCCTTGGGCCAGTGACTCTGCCTCCCTGGGCCTCAGTTTCTTCATCTGTTAAATGGGTGTAATAATGACACCAACCTCTCACCAGTGAGAAGACGCACAAAAATATCCAGAACAGCGCCTGTTTTGTAGTTAATGTTCAATAATAATGCTGCTCATTATTTTTAGATTAGAAGATTCTATTCCTTGCCTCAGTTGCCCCCTTGACCAAATGTGCCTCACAGCAGGTCCCCTTCTAGGGATCATGTGCCGGGTCAGAGTGGGGTGCTCAGAAGGGAGTGGTCATAAGAAGGAAGTGGGATGAGAGAGAGCAAGGGTCACTTTGGGGCAGGAGGATGATGCTGCGCTGGCCCTGGGAGGGGTCCCACCAGTGTAGCAGGATAAACAGTGAGACACAGGGTGCCGGGGAGGTATCATGGGCCAGGAGTCAGAACATCAGGCACCCCGCCCTGCAGCTGCCACTCCTGGCCTGTGTGTGTCCGGGGGTGACTGATATACTGTCTCTGAGCCTCACTTCCCTCACCTGTGAAATGGGAGGAATTCATCCCTTCTCAGTCAGCCTTGCCTCCTATCTCTTCCTCAGCCCCTCACTCTCCTCCAGCTGCAGGGCACACACATTCCAGCCTCAGGGCCTTTGCACGGGCTGTCCTCTAGCTGTCTACACAGCTCACTCCCTCATCTCCCTCAAGGCTTTAGCTCAAAAGTTACCTCCTCAGGGAGGCCTCCCTGACACCCTGGGTACTGACAACCCAGTCCCTGGCCTCAGTACCCCCAACACAACTTTTCCCCTTCACCTCTCAGTACACTATATAATTTGCTTATTGTTTTTTGTTAGCTAATTGCCTCTTCCTGCCCCCTGCTTTTAAGCATTAGCTCCATGAGGACAAAAATTTTTATTTTGTCCACAGCTATCTCCCCAGTGCCTGAAACTGTCCCTGGCACTTTTCTCCATATGCCATTTTTGGTGTAATGCTCACAAACATTTTGTTCGATAAGCAAAAGTAAAGGACAGCCCCAAACTATGTCACTATGGGACATTCCTGTTAACTCCAGCCCACTGCTCCGCCATACCCCTAGAGGGGCAGGCCCTTCTTCCCACAGAGGTGGGGCTATCTAAAGAACTTGGGAGGCTGGGTGTGAGCTGGAGAAGGCACAGGGGGCCTGGAGGCAGAGCTGTGCAGAAAACAGGTCGCAGTCCTAGAACCGGCAGGTCATGACAGCTGGACATGGGTGAAGGGGCTTTGGGCCTTAGTCCTCCACTCCAAATTTGGAAGCACGGAGGAAGTTGACGACGTGTAACTGGGAAAGAAGCGGCCAGGGCAGAGGCCTCCTGCGATCGTGGAACAGAGGGGTCCTCAGGAACAAGACGACCCATTTTACAGATGGGACAACAGAAGCCTAGAGAATAGTCTTATTTCCTAACAACCCAACAAGAAAAATCTTTTCTCTCCTTTCTTGAAGTCTGGGATTGAGGCTAAAGGGCGGACAGTGCCCCCTCCTGGCTCTGCAACAAAACGACCCCCGCGTCCCTGGGATCTGCCGGCCGCAGGTCCTGGTCCCCTCTCCACAGGCCATCCGGGATGGAGGTTCAGGGGACCACATAGTTGGGGTGGGCAGCCCCGGTGACTTCTCCTCGCAGGCCCGCCCCGTCAAGAAGTTTGTTTGAAAGAAACCAACCAGGAAGTGAGGGATAGTAGGGTGGTGAGGGGGCCTTGGCCAGCCGCTCTGGGCTTTGGAGGAGCCTCGGGGTTCTTGGCCTCTGCGCTACTCCTGCCCCAGCCTCCATCGCTCCGGAGGAGAAACCCACTGCCCCCGAGCTCCAGGAGGAGGCGGAAGCCCGCGACTGGGTCAGGGCGAAGGAGCTCAGAGCGAGGGGACCCAAGGCGAGCGCCCCGCCCCGCCCCGCCCCGCCCAGTAGGGCGCGCCGGGGTGGGCGCGGCGTTCTGGCCTTTCCTCCACACAGCCTCCACCGGGTAGGTGCGAGTGCTCTGCCCACGACAGGGGCCCTAGCCCACCCAGCGTCCGGCCAGTAGCCCCACACTGCCCCCTTCCTGCAGATCGCGCGACTTGGGGGAGGGTGGGGGGCGTCTCCACCTGTGCGTCCCCTACCCACCCCCTAACTGGGCTCAGGCGCGGCCTGGGTTTCTGCCCGCCCCTTTCCAGCCTGGAGACTGGGGACTCTCCCAGCCTCGCCCCTCCCCCTCCAATCTGTCCCTCATGTCCCCGCTCCAGACACTCACCCACTTTCTGAGACCCGGGCCGAGCGCCGGTGTCCCCCGGCGGGGAGCTCCGAGTCGTTAGGCGGCCCCAGGTCCTCCGGCCCAGGGCCCCTGCCCCCAGGCCCCCGCCCCAGAAGGTCAGGCCAGACTTGTGGGCAGCGGGAACTCCGCCACCACCTCCGTCCGCGGCCCTGCGGGGGCAAAGACGGGGGGAACTCGCAAGTTTGCGCCGCGCACTCCTCCGGCCGGGAACAATGGCGGGAGGGGGAGGGGACAGAGAACCGAGCGCGGGGACCGAGTCAGACCGTAGGGAGACAGAAACTGCTTTCGCTCGGTTTCTCTCCTGCACCGAAGCAGAAAGCTCGAGCCGGAGAGGCAGAGGCCGAGGACGAAATAAGCAGTCCAGGAGGAGGGCGACCGCGGAGCCGGGGGAGAGGGGAAACCGAGTCAGAGGGAGGGGCGGCAAGGGGAGAGCGCGCAGGGGAGACGGAAAGGGCTGCGAGACGGCGCCTTGGGGAGTCGGGGAGGCGACCCCCTGGGGTCCCAGCGGGCTCAGCGGGTGCCGAGATGTCCCGGGGCGCCTGGCTAGCGCGCGCAGGGTCCCGGCCGCCCCCCTGCGGTCCCGGCGGCCTCAGGAGCCCCGCTGGGTTGCCCTGCGCAGGCGGCGGACGGGGGGCGGCAGGCGGCGGACGGGGGGCGGCAGGCGGCGGACGGGGGGCGGCAGGCGGCGGACGGGGGGCGGCAGGCGGCGGACGGGGGGCGGCAGGCGGCGGGCGGCGGCGGCGGGCGGGGAAAGTCCGCGGCTCGGAAGCGGCGGCGGCGGGGAGCAGAACTTACGGGCCTCGCGCGTGCCGGCGCCAGGCTGCGTGGAGCTGGTGTCAGGCGGAGGCTCCAGGCTTGGGCGCCTCACATCGCGCCGCCCGTGCGGGGCCGGGCAGCGCAGGGCAGGGCAGGGCAGGGCCGGCTGGACTGCGCGCGGCGCCCTGCGCGGCCGGGGCTTACCGAGTCTGGCGGCCCGCGCTGGTCCCTCCTCTCGGTTCCGCGCACAAGCCAATGGCGCGCCGTCCCCTCCCACGCGCCGGGCTGCCTCGCCCCCAGGGTGGCCGCCGGGGCTGGTGGGATGGGGGTTGGCGGGGAAACCGGGCTCCCGGCTCCCCCGCGAGGCTCTCCCGGGGGCCGCCTGCAGGGGGCGCACGCGCGCCCAAGGGAAGGCGCCGGGGGAGGAAGTAGCGCGGGGAGACCCTGGCGTTGCCCGCGCCGCCCAGGAAGACTTTCCTGGCAAGTTCTGCAGACGGTGCCTCTTTCTTGGGACGATCAACGTAGATGGGCAAACCACACCATCTTAAATAGCCTTGCGATGTCTCCCGGGCCCAGGCCGGTGTCTGAAATGGAAGGTACTGCTTTGGCTGGCGGTGATACCGAAGTGTGTAATAACACAGTCACGACAATAGTCACCGTTTGCTGCGCACTCTCTGATGCCAGGCACCATATGCTAAAGGAGTTACAAGTATTAACTCATTTGATTTTCACAGCAACCCATAAGGGCGCTGTGCTTAGTCCCATTTTACTGGCGGTGGTCGTTGAAGTTTGAGTTCACTCAGCCTTCAGGCTTCCAGCTCAGGCCCACCCTTCTCTCTCCCTGCTTGGTGTGACTTGGCCAAATAACATGACCCCTCCGTCACTACCGCCACCGTCTTCATAGTCCACCCTAAAATCCAGCTTGACGATGCTGCTGTCAATTGCACTGTCAGGGGACTAGGATCTTATCTGGGGCTCTAGGACGCTTGTTGGGGCCACAGTTGTCAAACATTTTGTCTCTATACATCCTATGGGGGCCTGGGATGAGGATGAGGGTTGGGGGTCATGGAGGCTGTCTGGTGGCCTGTCAGCCTAGAAGAACCAGGTTCCTACAGACAAGGCCCCACCCTCAAATTCTGGGCTCCTTCCACCCCTTATGGTGGGAAAATAATGTGCTGTCTTCCACCCTAACCCCCACCACCCTATGCTCTCCTTAGAGAAATGCCTGGATCTCTTTCATCTGGTCTGATGGTCACAGTGGGCCAGGAACCGGGGTGGGGGGCTGCGGGAAAAGGAAGGGAAGGCTGATGACGTGCTCCATTCCACAAGTAATTAAGAGAGAAAGAGGTGAGTGGCTGCCTCAGGCATCTAGCTAGGTGGGCATTCTGACTCCAGGTCTCAATTCTGTCTGCACCAGTTCCTTAAGGGTTACCAGATCACCTAGGTTCAAATCTTGGCTCTGCCTTTTAGTCCCTCTGCGGCCTTGGACAAAATAAGTCACTTAGAGCAACCAATAGTAGGAACCGGCTATGGTTGCTGTAGAGATTTAGAGTTAATAGCAGCTGCTCATGTTTATTGAGCATGGACTCTGTGCCATGCAGGCTCCCACTGTCCTCACCAGAGCTGGGATTGGGCAGGAGAGTCTGTGCCCTTGGCAAGGAAGTAAACAGAACAGTCCTTTGTTCATAGTAAGTGGTCAGTGACTATAAGCTGTTCTGATTACTAAGGTAGATAAACTCAGATGCCCCAGTGCCACTGACACTGCCCCCAGCCAAACACCTGGACAATGATAGCCAATAATGAATGAATGAATCAATCAATCAAAGTATGTGACTCTAGATGAGTATTATTTTTAAGGTGTGTTGGATGGAGCCATCTGACTCAATGCTCTATAGTAATTTCTGCAACAACTCAGTCTCACCTCACCGCTTTTACAGAGCTGGGCCAAGCTGGGTTGATAAATTCATTTGTCACTCCCTCTTCTGCCTTTCCGGCACTCAGGGCTCTGGGTTGCTGAAGGGAGGGCCCCCAGCATCATTCATGTGTGGTGTCCTCCCAGACTTGGGGACACCTGCCTGTGCTCTGCTTGGTGTAACCCTAGAGACTAGCAGCAGAGTCTGGGCTTGTAATCCCAGCCAGCCTGATCGTACATCAGTAGGGGGGCCTTTGTCACAATCACTCCAAGTTCTCCGACATGGAAGAGGCTGCCTTAGTGGTCATGAATGAGTGCCCTGTCACCAGCAGCATGCAAGCAGAATCCAGGGAAGGGTTGATGAGGACACCAGAGGAAGAATTCCCACCTTAAGTGGTATTTGGAGTGGATAACCTTTGCCCTCTGGGTGTCTGTATTCTCTCAGTCTCCCAAGCTTATCAACGGGGAAGCTGGGGAGGCTGGGAGCTCAGGCTGGGTCGAGGCTGCCCTACCATCCTTTGTGCAGGAGGCCATCCTGACTGTGCCTGACCCATATACCAGGCAAGGTGTTATGTCCTGGGGCCCCAGGGGTGAACAGGACAGTGTCCCTGTCCTTGGAGAGTTCACAGCCCCCTTGTAGATGACTGCACAGATAGTCAACAGCAGCAACAGTAAACGCTCAAGATAACAGGCAAAGTGCTTGGAGGGGGGCCAGGGGAGAAGCAGCTGGCTCTATCCATAACCCCCTGCATCCGCTCTCCCGAAAGCACCCATTAGAGGCTCTTATTGTCTTCCTCCCTATATACTTTTCATTTATTTTATTTATTTATTTATTTTTTTTGAGATGGAGTCTCTCTCTGTCGCCCAGGCTGCAGTGGAGTGGCGCAATCTCGGCTCACTGCAAGCTCCGCCTCCCAGGTTCACACCATTCTCCTGCCTCACTCAGCCTGCCGAGTAGCTGGGACTACAGGCGCCTGCCACCATGCCCAGCTAATTTTTTGTAATTTTAGTAGAGATGGAGTTTCATCGTGTTAGCCAGGATGGTCTCGATCTCCTGACCTCATGATCCGCCAGCCTCGGCCTCCCAAAGTGCTGCGATTACAGGCATGAGCCACCGCGCCCAGCCTCTATATACTTTTCTAAAGTGATGTGTCCAGTTCAGAAACATCCCTTAGGCAGCCATTCTGCCCTCAACTCTTCTGAGTTACCTGATCTTTACACTGGGCATAAAAAAAAAAAAAAATTCGCCTCGCTGGGCTGCTGTGAGAAGTAACATTGACATTCATTAAGTGTGCCCCTAATGCCAGGCAAGAATAGATGCTTGGTGCATGGTAACAATGAGGAGTCATCATTATTCACTGTGAGGGTGAGATAAGTCGGCGAGGACCTTGGCTCTGCTCCTAAGTAGCTATGCGACCCTCTCCTGCACAGATATAAAAATATCTGCCTCATACAACTTGTGAGAGTCAAGTGAGGTGATTCGACGGAAAAGGTTTGCAAACTGGAAATGCTGATTCCTATTGCTAACATTATTATTGTGATTCTTACCTTGGTGAAGTGTTCCTCTCAAGGCCCCAGGGGGGTGGGGACGGCAGTGGGGATGGGGATGGAGCCAGGAGGCAGCCAGCAGCTGTTGCAGGGGTGGGAGGGTCCCTCCCTCCAGACTTCCACAGGAACCTGGGAGCAGCAGGGGCTCCATCTGCCCTGGTCGCCCTCCACAAGCGGGGCAGCAACACCTCCTTGGTGACCAGGTGTGAGTGAGCCCTTAAGAGTGTGCCTGTGTGTCTGTGTTTGTGCCCCTGCAGGAACGTGGGGTGAGCACAGGGATTGCCAGTGTCTGCAGCCAGAAATCACTATGGATGAGGAAGAATGGGGATGTAATTGGATTCCAAAGATGCTTGGAGTGAGACTACTGTTAGCACCTGGGACTGCAGGAGAAAGGCCTGCGGAGCGGGGGTTGGGCCTAGTCTTTGGGGCTGGGGCGGGGAAAGAGGTTTCAGCACTGATGGGCCCTTGCGGAGGAACATGATGTTGTCAGAGACCTGTTGTGGTTGAGCCCAGGGATTTTGGAGCTGACAGAGCTGGGTTCAAGTCCTGGTTGTGGGACCATGGGCCAGTGATTTCACTTCTCTAGGCCTCAGTTTGCTCATCTGTAAAATGGAGATAATAACAGGGCCCACCTGGTGGGAATTATTGGAGGTTTAGCAGAGAGGCTGCATGTGAAGCCCTCAACATGGGGCAGGCACATCGGCAGTTATCAATTAGTACCACTGGTGTTATTATGAGGCAGCCTGGAGGAGGGGAGGGAGAGGGCCTCAGGACTGCTGGTCCATTCTCAACTGGAAAGGGGAGCTCTGGGGTGAGAGTTGTCTAGCCAGGGTTCATTGAAGCTGGCACAAAACCCAGAGAGAAGGAGCCTCCGTCCCATGACACAAGGATTGAGGCAGAGAGCTGGGCTTTCACAACTGCTTCTGGTTCCCCTTCCTGGTTTCCACTCATTTCCTCCAGAGCTTCCTTCTCTGTGAACCTGCCTGGTGAGGAGAACTCTGTTACACGTAGTTTTGGGGACTGGAAGGAGCAGCTGGGAGCTCAGGAACTCCCGGGCAGGCCTCCCCAATGCTTCCTGCCCCCACCCCTCTAGAGTGAGCACTGACCAGCCCTCCTTCCCCCACCCTACTCTCCTGCCAGCTGCTTCCCTCCAGTGACTCATCCCCACCACCTCTGTTGCTGCACCAGGACCAGGAAATGTCAAGCAGTTTCTTATCTGTGGGAGAGAGAACTGATCAGGATGGGGGTGGAAGCAACGAGGCTCAGATCTCCCCAAAGAAAGAGTATGACAGCTAGGGGACCAAAGACCATGGCCAGCCCTTTCCTGCTTCCTGTGGGGGAAGGCTCAAAGAGGCAATGTGAGAGTGGGATTTAGCCACTAGACCCATCCTGGATTTAGGCTCAAGGTCCTAGTCCTCTTCTAACCAGCTCTGTGGCCTTAGGCAAGTAACTCAGCATCTCTGAGCCTCAGTGTGTTCATCTGTCAAATGGAAAGAAGAAAATCATCATGATGCATAGGGTACTTGGGGGGTTTCGTGAGACAGTACATGTAAGTCCGGAACTCACAGTCAGTGCTCAATGAATGTTCATTGACTCCGTGAATGAACTGACATATGGAAATGGCAGTGAACTGGGCACATGTGGCTATCTGCAAGAAATCCACCCTCCACCAGCTGGGAGAGTTGGGGAGATGTCTGTGGACCTTGTATCCTAGGCCTGGGACACCTGTTGCTCTG